AAACAGTCCAATGTAGACCAAAGCCGCCAGATCGACGCATTGCAAGAAAACGTGTTCTGTGGTAGAGAATCAGAGACATTGCTTGGTCGATTAGGCACTGACTCTGGGTTAGGCACTGACTCCGAACAATGGTAAGTCAAAATTTGTGTTCTTCTTTGTCCTCTTTATAGAATTCGTCTTCATGACAATTCACATCCAAAACTTTCAGATTTGTGTGATTGAATAATCATTACGAAGCTGTTTGAATCTTGTGATCTATTTTGTTTTCTAAAACCAAAATCAGAGAGATTAGGAAATGCTGAAAAAGTTATTAAAAATAAAAGTTGAAATAGTTAACTTTTTATTGGTCCCGGATTATCTTTTTCTTTTTTGTCGACTATCCCGGATCATCCTAGACCGAAACTCAGACTAGTTCTTGAGGCCCCTAACAATTCGAGTTTTTCTTATTTCTTGTCATTCAAGTTATTTAAGGATGGTCAAACTTATGTGTACCCAACGGATAAACCCCCAAGGGAATTTTGAATGTACGCACTACATTTTGAATTACAAGTCTTAACTACTACCGCAAGCAGTTTTATGATTGTGGTTTCTAAGCTTTTGCAGTCTGAATTTTATAAGTTGATTTTTTGTTGAGTCGAAAATTGTTATTGTCAAAACAAAAATAAGCAGAAACTTTTCATGGGTCTTATGGGTTATTTTGAGCCCATCATCCATAAGTACATAATACATATGCCCCTCTAATATTTCCATCGAACACAAACGTACAAACTCAAAACAATATGAAATTCAAGATTCAACCAAATAATTATGAAATAAATTGTTTCAGAAATTAGTAGATGAAATAGTGTTGTAAAACTTGATTGATACTTTGATAGAGATTGATGTTGATCAGTGGTAGTGTACCATCGTTTTCGACCTTAAAAAGATTTAATATTTTCCAAATTAAAACAAGGCACCAATAGTCCCCGCATTATAAATGATGGAGTGACAAATGCATTTTGTAACAAAAAATTATGATTTGTTATTTTGGGCTTTGTTTCGATGGACGATGACTTCAACATCTATCTACCATTAGCAGCCAGATTGAATTCGCTTTTATTGAAGCTCACTTAGCGCATATTAATGAGGATAGCAACGTTATGTGATTAAAATGTAAGAAAGATTAGTTTTCTTGTGCTCCGGGTTCAATTTTTGTTTGGAACGGAGGGTTATTTGAATATCTAAAGTCTGATTACGAATACCAAAAAGATGACGAAAGGTTGTAATTTGCTCCCGCGGTTTAACAAAAGAAAAAAAATTAATAGATGTTAGAAAAGACAATAATAATACGTTAGAAACATCAACGTTTTATGATTCTTTAAGAGAATTTTAGTAAAAGAAAAAAGAGATTTGTGGTATTATTCAGGGTTCCTTTTGGTTCTGTCTACCATTGAAGTTAGAGAGATCTCTAAGACCATCTCCAATGGTCCTTTAATTTGGGAGAAAACATCAAAAAATGAGGAAAACTCCTCTTCAATAGTATTTCATTTTGAGAGAAAAATAAGTTTATAAACAGTATTACATCAAATTTGAAAGAACACTATTCATTTTTTCATTTTACCTTTTAGCTTTGTTTATTTATAAAATAATCCTTGAAATTTTGCATATATCTAATCTATATCTAAATAAAGTTTTAAACTTTTTATTTACTATTCAAATAATATATAGTTTTTTAAAACATAATTTCTAATTAATATTAGTTAGCTTCATAAATAAAAATGTAAAATATAATTTTAGTATAGAAAAGAAACATAAAATAACTTAACCAATAATAAAATTCAAAATACATAACTAATACCATAAATAAAAATAAAAACAAATAAATATAATTGACATAAGCTTAGATTTTTTGATTTGCTTAAATTTATAATTTCTTAAATTAATTGGTATAATTTGTAAACTTATAAATAATAGATGTTGTTTGTAATTAACAATAAAATAAAAAGAGAATATACTTCAAATATTTTTTTGAGGGAAAAAATGAAGAAGATTATTGAAATTAAAACTTTACCTCATTTTGAGAGAAAAAATGAGAAAAACTATTAGAGATGTTCGAAAGCTAAAAAAACACATGTACAGTGCTACTATTTTCCTTTAACAAATCACCAATTAATAGGAATTCACCTCACTTAGCACTATCCATTTAAATTGGAGTTTATTATCTGTAATTATTTTATTAAGTATTCTAGGCTTCCGATGGGTTTGAGAAATAAAAGAATGAAATGATTGCACGGAATAAAGTGCAAGATAAGGGAAATTCTAACGTAATCTGTTATTTTGAGAACATAGCTTTTCGTAGGGCGTATATGAGTGCAATGTCAAAATGAAAAATCATTTCCAAATAATTTCCAACGTGCGGCAAATGAAAACGTTACCTTTCAGGGAAATTTAATCACGTGAGTATATTGTTTTTCTTTATTTCATGATGTTGATAGTTCATTTTCATCACAATTTACGTATTTTCACGTGCCTAGTTTCCTTCTATGAGTTGTCGTACTCGTACCGCAACATAAATTACAAATTAAAATAAATGGAATTTTGTAGTAAAAAGAAAGAAAGAATATAATTTTCATAGCAATAACAATGATGATGTATATAATTCATATAAATTTTCATATAAATGTTGTTTCTTCTGAAAAGAGTTTAGTTAGACGGAATATGGTACGGCGATGATTGCGTGATGCTCACTTACTCACGTACTTGTCGGGAATCGTCGACAACACGTGTTGGATATTGATAGGATGGATATATGGGCGGTACTGAGTTACGGAATAGAAGAAGGAAGGAGAAACATAGAGCTTTATAGGTGAAAGTGAGGCCTAACGAATCTTTAAACATTATAAATCTTCACAAGCAAGAGTTTGGCACAAACTACTATTATTCCTCTTTCTCAACTATAAAGCTGAAAAAAATTATAACTCTAGTTTTTCCTTTTTTTCTGTTTGGTAATTGAAATTACAATTACATTTAGTGTATAGTTGATTTTTGGAGTTTAAGTCAAAAGAATTATACTTTGAAAAAAAGCTTCAAAGAAATACTATATACGACTTTGTTATAAATTATGGTTTAATTAAGGGTTAATCACGAACATTTTTCTTTATTTTTTAAAGGTTATTTTGCTTTTGTGGACTTTAAAGGTTATTAAGAAAAAGTACTATTATTTTTTGCGTAAATTAACAAAAAAAAATTTATTCATGTAGAATTGTTTTGGTCATCAAAATCATTTAATAAACTTTTAAAGATATGTTGTTGCATATGCAAATTTATTGGAGTATGTATCATGAATAAATATGCATATGCAACAACATATTTTAAAATAAATAACGTGATATAAAATAACATGGTATTTTGTTTGAACTTGCACTAAACCTTCAATAATTTGATACCATCTCACTTTCATTTTTATAAACCTTCAGAAATTATTCAGGTATTACATTATAATTATAATTATTGTATTTTCAGTATAATCTCAATAGATAGACGATTGAAAAAATTGTAATATAACCTTCAAATTATTCACTTTATAGAAATTTCAGATCATTATTTAAGTTATTAAAAAATATAATTAATAGTTAGTGTTTTTTGTTCGAAAACAATATTTTTACGGCAGCCTAATCATTGTGAAAATATTTATGTTACGACTTTGTAAAATAAAAGACTGGAAAAAATAACATATTGGACATTTGGACATTATTTGCCACAAACCCACTCTATAGTAGTAACATGGACCACCAGATTATTAAAAAAAAAATAAGTTTCAAATTTTCAATACGCTTAATTATCTATATATATATATATAATACACAAAATTTCAATTGATCCGATTTATGTATAGTCGATTATTCAGTTGGGTGCTAAATAACGTTGAATTAAGAGCTCATAAAAAACAAAAGATTTTTTTTTTTTCACAATATTTTGATCGAGAGTACGTATGCCGATTAATCTTTACCAAATATAACTAGAGTTAGTACATATGTCGATAACCATAAATTCATATCTATAATTCATAAAATGTTGGTAAGTCGATCGAAAAATCCAACATATGTTTATCCAGACTCATCCATCTACTGTTACATCATTAAAATCCACAACTTAATCATTACCCATCACTAATCAATAAACAATTATGACTAACATATAATAAACTAAGCCTGGGCATTCGGATATTCGGTTCGGTTTCGGTTCGGAACCAATCAGTTCCGGATATTTCGGGTAGAAGAAGTTAGGATCCATCGGGTATTTTATAAATTTTGGTTCGAATTCGATATCTTTATTTTAGTTCGGTTCCGGTTCGAATAATCGGATCCGGATCTTTTGCCTCAAATTTTTAATTCGATTCACACTTTTTTAATAACAAAAATTCAAAAATATATATATCAAAACTTAAAAATATACCCAAAAGTCTCAAAAATAAAGAAAATATATCTGTAAAACCAGAAATATATACCAAATATCAAAAATATATAAAAAAAACTAATATTTAGAAGGATATATAATTATACTTTGGATAATTCGGGTACCCAATCGGTTCTCGGTTCGGTACTAGTTCGGTTCCGGTTCTTCGAGTATAAGAGTTTAAGATCCATCGGATATTTTTAAAAATTTCGGTTCGAATTCGGTACCTCCATTTTGGTTCGGTTCCGATTCGGATATTCAGATCCGGGTTTTTTGCCCAAACCTATAATAAACCCAAAACGGATTATTCGGAACCTACGTGGGAGATGGGACCTCACTTCCCCAAGTCCTTTTCATATTCCCGAAACTGTGTTTCTTTTCCGTATCAAGAGTTGGGCTTACGTGGATCTCTTAACATTACGTTAGACTATCTAACGGCGAGCATAAAGAGACGCCCAGCTACACCCGCGTTGCAGGAGATAAGAATCTATGACGGTCTGACAAAAATATAAATTATTTAAAATTGAGAAAATATAAATTTAATTATAAAAATAGAAAATCGCGAAGAGGAACTAACAGTAACGCAATCCACAGGCCAAGGAGTTTGCATACTCACCAAGGCACTTCATCATCTCTCTCTCTTGCTCTCTCTCTCTCCGATTTGAATCGCCGGAAACTGAGTCAACTCGGTGGAGGTTACTGTTTTTGTTTGCAGAAGTGTAATCACACTATGATTTGATGGATCCAAGTGGGATGATGAACGAAGGAGGACCGTTTAACCTGGCGGAGATCTGGCAGTTTCCGTTCAACGGAGTTTCAACCGCCGGCGATTCCTCGGCGAGGGGTAACCAGTTCGCTGATTCGAATCTGAACACAACCACCGCCGTCGGCGATGCGGCGCGTATCAGCCACGCGCTCTCGCAGGCGGTGATCGAAGGTATCTCCGGGGCGTGGAAGCGGCGAGACGAGTCGGCGAAGGTCGTCTCCACCACCAGTAACTACAATGGCGCGGTACGGATTTTTTCTCATTTTCGTTATTCGTTGTATGAATTTTTCGACTAATTTGAATTTTTGTTTTGAAATTCTCATTTACATTATTTAAAATTCTTACTGATTTTCGGTTTTGTGATTAAATTTTGAATATTTGGACTAATTTCAAACAGTTTTCGTTATAATTTGTTCATCTTTAGCTATTTAAAACACTGGAAATATATTAAAAAAAAAAAAGAATAAGAGAATACTGTAGATTGATTTTTGTATTGTGTTTTGGATTCTCTAATTTTTCATTTGTTGTGTAAATAATAAGATTTGTGATTGAGACTCATAATTTTTTTATTTTTCTGGGTTGAATCAGAGTGAAGGTGACAAGAAAAGACAGAAGATAGATGAAGAGTGTGATGAGAAAACAGAAGCAGGATTTTCTTCGGAGACGAAAATGGATCAAAAGAAGCAGCAAATTGATCCAACAAAAGATTATATTCATGTTCGAGCAAGAAGAGGTCAAGCTACTGATAGTCACAGTCTAGCTGAAAGAGTAATGATGATATGCTATATGACTCTCTTTCTTTGCCTGAAAAAACTTGATTTGGAGTTAAAGTCTTGACATTTTTCTTTTGGTTTTTTGGCAGGCGAGAAGAGAAAAGATAAGTGAGAGGATGAAAATCTTACAAGATCTTGTGCCGGGATGTAACAAGGTTATTGGAAAAGCACTTGTTCTAGATGAGATTATTAACTATATACAATCATTGCAACGTCAAGTTGAGGTAAAAACCTCTGTTTCTCTCTTCTCTATTGTATGTTTACTCTACGTGCATGTGTGTTTCGTACGACTATACTTGTGATTTTTCAGTTTCTATCGATGAAACTCGAAGCTGTGAACTCACGAATGAACCCTGGCATCGAGGTTTTTCCACCGAAAGAGGTGATCAATCTTCTCCTTTTTTTTTACAGAACAGTACATGTTCCTATCTTGATGTTTATGCGGTTTGGCCTGTTTAAGGCAAATCTATCATTTTCAGTTCTTGAACTTAAAGACAAAACTCAAAATACTGTTTTTCGTTTACTTGTTATGGTTGGCTAATCTCTGTTGTTTTGATAAAACTCGATCAGTTTCGTCAGCAAGGGTTTGAGAATCAAGAGATGCAGTTTGGGTCGCAGTCTACAAGAGAATTCAGTAGAGGAGCATCACCAGAGTGGTTGCATATGCAGATAGGATCAAGTGGATTTGAAAGAACATCCTCATAAAGAACAACAAACACTTCATCTTCTTAATCCAACCAAAGAGAAGCATATATACATACATATAAATGTCTTGCTTCATCATAGGTAATAAATATATGGATGTGAATATACACGTCTTAGTTATATAAAAAAGAAGAAGATAGATATAGTTAGTTTCATATCAAGCAAAAAAAGCTGGGAAAAGATTTCGCTTTTTAGAATGTCGTTCAAAAAAATATGTTTTCGTATGCTCCTTGAAAGTAGAAACCTCTCGTACAAGGAAATACGTTCTTCATTATAAATTTTATCTCATTCTTACCAAGCTTCATTCTGTTACTTACATGTTGTCACACATCAGTGACATCACACAATATAAATACAAAGATGTGTTGATATGCCACAAATCTGATTGCGAAAGAACGAAAATCTAGCACTCGCACATGATTTAAGGGACCTAATTCAACATCATGTGTTATTTTAAAATCTTTAATAAGTTATAAACTTGTTTTGTGTATAGCCATGACTGACTTTAAAATGAGCATGATCAGACACATGGAGATTTTTTTTTTTTTATCAGCTTTAGTCCCATACAGTGTTCAAAAAATTAGCCAAGTCGCCGTCTAATCAGGTGCCTAGGTATTGGCTTAAGATTAACCGACATAAATTTTGTAAAATAACAAATCAGATTTAGTAATTAAGTGGACCAAATAATCAGCCAAATCATGTAATTATTTTGTTTTTTTTTTCAATCAATATTTATGATCTTAGATGGTAAGGTTTACAGAAGGTTATGCTGAAAAATAGTTAGTCGATCTACCTGAAATCAATGAAGAACCTAAAAGTCATCTTACTTACCAAATCTAAAGTGATGAGCCTAGCGGTGATATTGACTCCGATGATAAAAATAATATAATCATTAAACAATTACTATTACAAATCGACAGCTAATTTATCATATTTGTCTTTTTTCTTCTTATATTTCTTGATTTTGTTATACTGTTTTTCTATTTTGTATTTTCATAATTTGTTATGTTCATCTTACAATTTTTTCATATTCAACGTTTTTATCTTTGTATTTTTAAAAATTTATTTTCTTTAATTTTGTGTTCTACTTTTTATCTTTTTTATTCATCTTTCTTTTCATCATCTTCAACTCCTACTCTATTTTTTTATTTTTTTTTTCATTTTTTAAATCTTTTTTCACCTCTTATTTTAATTTATGTGATGTATGTATTTCCTTTTCTTTTACGTTGTTTTTTATTTTACTTTATTTTTATCTCTGTTTTTTTCTTTAAATATTCTTGATTTTTTTTCTTCCTCTTAGTTTTCTTATTTTTTTTTATTATTTTTTTTGATTTTTTATTGTTGTTTTTTCTAACTTTTTCTTTTTTTTTATTTCTAATTTTTTATTCTAATTTTTAACAAAAAAATAATTATAAAAAGTGTGTGAATGAATTGAATTATTAATTTTAAGATTACTGTTTTTCTCTTATTTGTTTTTTAAAATAATTATTTTAAAGTATGTAAATTAGTTGAATTATTAAGTTTTTTTAAGAGCTGATGTGGACACAGATCAAAATAGAGAGAAAATTGTCTCACTATATAATTGATTAGTAAATCAGCAAACATAAGAATGGCACATAAAATCAATCAAATTTAGCATAACACTACTTGTTGCCAGAAAAATGTCATAAAAACCATGAAAACTCTGTTTTAAAATCCATTTTTGAACACAAACAGTGGATTTATTTCCCCTTCTTTCCTACTATATAATAATCGTTTCATCAGAATGTAACATAAGGGATGTATCGGACTCTGTAATAGTCTTCTCCTCCTTCCGACAGTCTCTTCTTCCATCTCGCTCCCATATCAGAACTAGTCAGATTCATTAAGTAAGTAACGAATTGTAGTCCATCAGGAAGCCCTTTTAACTTCTTACAGTTATTAATCTCCAAATTTAGGAGAACGGGCATGGAGCCTTCTTCTACTATCCACTCTTCCCACTCTTCTAATCCAGCAAACTTAAGCTTCTGCAATTGAGGAAACCCACCGGCCGAGCAAACCATTCTCCTCCCACAAAAAGAATACTCCCATAAATTAACGTCTTTCAACTTGGGTAACTTGTCTAGAATCTGCATCGGATCCTCTTCCAAATAACAACCCCTTAGAGTGATGGTTGTAAGGTGAGAAGACAACTGTTGTTCATCAGGTAACTTAGGAATTTTAATTTTCAACATTAGCTGTTTGAGATTCATGCAATCCAAAACAAACCCACTTGCCATCAAGGTATTATCACTTATTATACTAAGATTTTCTAGGTGTCTCATTTCACTTAGAGATGAAGATAAAGTATCCATAATACACCCTTCATCTTCGATATTGATAGAGAGGACTCTGAGCCGTGTCATACCTTGGAGATCCGTCACACTGCTATGCTTTGTAGAGAAATTCTTCAAAGTCTCCAGTTTAACTAAGTTACCCAAATCCATCTTCACCATATCATGTATACTCCTCGGCAAATACAGATATTTCAATTCGCCCATCTCTTCTAAGATATTGGGCATGGAGAGTTCACATCCTTTATGTACAAATAGATTTAAATAGAGCAACAACTTCAGATTCTGCATAGAAGAAGGTAGATGAGTTACATGTGCCTCATATAAACTCAAATATCTCAAGTGGATGAGCTTCCCAATGCTAGAAGGTAGCATCCCTCCTTCAAACTTGGCAAAGGAAAGATCTAAAACCCTCATCAAATGTAGCTTGTCAAAGAATAAACCTGATGGCCTCCAATTTTCACCCTTGCTTATAAAAATGAGAGATCTAAGGCTTGGATTTTTTATCTTCCCCTCCATATTAATTTTTTTAGGAGGCATATGTATAGTGAGTCTGCGAGATTTAAAAGGAGATTCAGCGTCTGCACTTGATGTGCCATGAACAATATGTAGGAAGTTCTCTTCTCTAGCTTTATGCAGACAAACTTCTCTCATCATGTCATGTAAGTGAATAATTTTAAATCTGGAAGGACTACCAACTCTTTCTGAAATAACCATATTTCTCTTTACCAACTCTTCTATATAGACATCTGCAACATCTTGAACGCTTGCTCTGTCATAATACTCGGGCTTTGATATTCCTTCTGCAGCCCAATACCAAGACAATTTCTCCACGTCTATTGGATAATCTTCTGGAAAATGGGCAAGATAGAGGAAGCAATACTTCAAAGTAATAGGCAACTCTTCAAAGCTTAAAGACAATACATGGTGAACCGAATTTGCATTTCCGTCATCAAAGCTAGTTCTTCCTGCAATGTGATATCCAATATTCTCAGATACCCTTTCCCACTCGCATAATGTGTGTTGGGTAGCTAACAATCCTCCTAACACTTTGACAGCTAAAGGTAGTCCTCCACAGTGTTTGATCATTTTCTTACCCATCGCTTCCATTTCTTTAACAACCTTGAATTCTGCATAACATTACAATATATTAGTTACTGATTTGAGCTTATAAATCAAGAGATGATCAACTAAACATAAAAGAAGTTTTGATTTGGATTAATGACGAAAAACTGTATCTTCCTTGAAAACTTACCGATGGTGTTTTTCTTAGGAAATGCTATTCTTTGAAAAAATTTCCAACTTTCTTCAAGAGTTAGACATTCTGGTTTTAAGGTGATACATGTTGGATCTGCATGTAATGCCACTCCCTCATTGCGAGAAGTAAGTAATACCTTCCATCCTACAATATAGTTAATATAAATGAAAGGATATATAATGCAGTTTTTTCAGAAAATATAAATGCCTTATGTCTATAGCATAAGATATCACCTTTTGTTGGTGGAAACACAGACTTTATTTTGTCCCAATCTTCTTCTTTCCACATATCATCTAGGACAATCAAAGAACTGCTGGTTTCCAACAATCCAAAGAGTGTTTCCTGGAGTTCATCTTCAGTCATATTTAACTCTCTACGCTCATCATGTTTTGGACTAAGCCTTTGCAAAATGGTCTGCCACACATACCTTCTTGTAAACTTTTGTGAAACACACACCCACGCAATTCCATCGAAATGGTTTTTTACCATCTCATGATTAAAAACTTGTCGAGCGAGGGCAGTTTTACCAATACCACCCATCCCACATATAGAAACCACTTGAATGCTCTCTTCCTCAACCAAATAACCAACCACTTTCTTCACGTTTTCTTCGAAACCCACAAAATCGCTTTCGTTGTCGCTGGGAAACGTTTTTCGCATCTCACTTTGTCTTTCTTGTTGAGGATGCGAATACACGCCACCTTCGATAATCAACTGTTGCACCCCAAAACTCTGCATATCGGACATCACCTTGGAGATCCTTTTGCTTATGCCTCTCATTTTTGAAGCAATATCCCTGCGATGATCCCACTCTGTAGTGAAAGCAAGTCTTCTCATGTGCTTCTTGATCCCACTTGTTTCTCCAAGTTGTTCCTTGAGAAGAAAGGTTTCGATTGTATCCTCTGTGTCAAAAACAATTTCTTTGATCTCTTCAACACATTGTCTCACAAAAGCACTTGCATGTTTCTTAGTATCTGCATCTTTCAAGAATGACCTAAGCAAGTTAAGATCATTTTTGAGTTCAGTGAACTGCTCATCAACCCCATGAAATCTCTCAGATTCTCGGACTAGGAGGTCCCAAATCTTCTGAACTCCAAACAACAAAAGTGTCTCAGCCATAAGTCTCCTGCACAATGAATTTAGTAGTCAATAATCAATAGAGGAGAGTTTTCATGAGTTCATCATTCAAATAATATTTTTAAAGTTTTCTCAGAATTAATTCAAAAGATTGAATTGAACCACCTTCCTCCGCAGAAAACTAAAGATCGAGATGTGTTTTTGGTGATTAGAAAGACCATTAGTGAGAATCTTTTATATAGGGTATCTTATATTAAAATATAATTAAAAATAAAGAAAATAGTTTTTAAAGTATTGAAAATCGGTTTTTAAATACAACCCCCTTTTAAGGGACACATGTTTTATAATGAGTGGTTAAGATTTTTTATTATTAAATTAAATACTCTTTAGTTTATGATACTAAAAATTAAAAATTAAGTAGTTTGTAATTTTGTATATTGTACTCTTTTTATCTATTAATTCCATCATGGATAAGTTTAATTATATTAATATTAAATAAAATATATACAGTAATATGATATTACTATAATTTAAGGAAACAAATTAGTAAACATTAAAAACAAATCTGGGATTTGGAAGATTACAAATTTTAGTTTTATATTTTTCTTAAAATATTTTATAATACTTTTTCGATATAGATTTCATATCTTCATCTTATTATACACCATGACATTTCTTAATTTCTTTCTTTCACCATTAAATTGAGAAACCATTCATTTTATTTTCATCAAATTCCATAGATTTTTTTTGTTTTTTTTTAGTTTTCATAGATCTTTTCACTAATCAACAAAGATAAAATACTATATTTTGTTATATAAAGACTCTTTGATATTATTTATTAGTATTTCAATTATAACTATTAGTTTTTATAAATTCATGTATTCAAGATGTAATTTACTATGTCTAAAAAATAAGAAATTACTAAATAAACAACCTTAAAAATAAGTAATTACTATGAAATATTGTGAATCAGTTATCAAGAGAGAGAGAAAATTCGTGTGTTTTATTGCATAAATAATGAGAGGTATATCTAGTATTATAAAGATCTAGTTATCACCATAAGTTTCTGATGTGGAACAAATACAATAGTTGTTATGGGCCTTATAATAGGCATCTAATTAATAATTCATAACACTCCCCCTGATGACTATTATAATGATATTGTAGTAAAGCGCGTAAGATGCTGCCTCATTAAAAACTTTACTAGAAAAACTCTGTGGGAAAAATCATAGTTAAGGGAAAAAGAGTACAACACGCATTTATTTCCCCTCATGTGTACCTTCGTATAGGTCCTCGAGACGTCGTAGTCCAATAAGTTGAACAAACTTCTTGAAAGTAGCAGTTGGAAGCGCATTGGTAAATAAATCCACTAAATTATCGCTTGAGTGGATCTGTAGAACAAGAACATGACCATTCTTCTGCAAGTCATGTGTAAAGAAGAATTTCGATTGAATGTGCTTTGTTCTATCTCCTTTGATGTATCCTTTCTTCAATTGAACGATCTAAGCAGCATTGTCTTCATACATAATTGTTGGAGTTTCTTTTCCTTTTGATAAACCACAATCTTCTCGAATATATTGAATGACAGACTTTAACCATACACACGCTCGACTGCCTTCATGAATAGCTAAAATCTGAGCATGAATAGCTGTAATGGTTTGCTTCATAGAACGCCAAGCAATAGCTGTACCACCACATGTGAATACATATCCTGTATGTGATCTGACATTATGGGGATCAGATAAATATCCAGCATCTGCAAAACCAATCAAATCTCCTTTGGATAGGTTAGAAAATAATAAATCCATATCTTTCGTTCCTCTGAGGTAACAAAATATATATTTAATCTAATTCCAATGTCTTCGAGTTGGACATGACCTAAACCTTGCCAATAATTTTCTAGCAAAAGATATGCCAGGTCTCGTATCACTCGTAAGATACATTAGTGCTCTTAGAAGGCAATCCAAGACTAAAAACCAGCTTCTGAATTTCATAATACGTTTCAGCAGCCAAATTATCATCTGACAAATACTCTTTAATAAGATCTGCCCAATAGTTCATGCAAACTTCAATAGATTGTGATCAGTTTTTACTGTCATCATCCGAGCTGCTAATGATAATTTAGATAAACCTTCTCTACATCCCTCATAAAGAGGCTGTTTTGCTGCGTTTAACATATCATAAAAGCGTTTCACATCTGCATTGGGCTCCTCAACAATATCAACATGTGTTTCATGAAATGCGCCAGTAACCATATCATGCATCATATCCTGATCTTCACCCTGAACTTGACTACTTTGATAATCATATGACGCTTCAAAATCTCCATGTTCTTGATGATTACTACTACTCCGTGCAGCCATCTTACTTTGACCATATCCCTCTCCATGCTGATACCAAACAAAGCATTGCGGCATGAACCCTCTATTCAATAAATGCTGCCAGACAGTGTCAATAGGAATATATTCCCTATTTTTGCATTTCACACAAGGACAATACATTTTGCCGCTTTCAATTACAGTTTGCATAAGGCCGGTCTGGTACATGAATATTTCCAATCCGTTTTTGAAGTCTTCAGTCAACGATCCATCAACATTTTTGGGCGTATACATCCACTTTCGTAGATCGTATATAGACATTTCAAAAAAAAATAATTGACTTTTTATTTTTGAACTTTGATATAAATTTCAACTACTAAAAATTTTACTCAAACATTCAAAGACTCAAAAAATTGTGTCTTTATATGTTTTTTTGGGTTGATAGAATAATGAGAGAAGAGAGAGTATATATAGATTTTTTTGTTTGGTTGCCAACATATACCATTGAATATTTACATCAAATTACGTCGAAATAAAAGTTACATCATATTTACATTGATATTACGTCAAATACAAGATAGAAGTCAATTCGTCATACAATCGATGTAAAATTTACGACAAAGTTACGACGAAATTAATTTCGTTCTTTATTCGTCGTAAAATCGCCGAAAATTATGACGATTTTACGAGATCAGTATTTTACGTCAAAATTACGATGAAATATTTTGACGTCATAAGTTCGACGTCGATCAAGAATCGACGTAAAAAATTCGTTGAAAATGCCCCTTTTTCTTGTAGTGACTGTAGATCGATTTTCGTATTGTGATTTATATTCTTTAATTTTTCATTTGTTGTGTCAATAATAAGATTTGTGATAGAGACTCATATTTTTTTGTTTTTTGGGTTGAATCAGAGTGAAAGTGACAAGAAAAGAGAGAAGATACATGAAGTGTGTGATGGAAAAACAGAAGCAGGATTGTCGCCGGAAGACGAAAATAGATCAACAGAAGCAGCAAATTGATCCAACAAAAGATTATATTCATGTTCGAGCAAGAGGAGGCCAAGCTACTGATAGTCACAGCCTAGCTGAAAAAGTAATGATGATATGTTTTGACTCTCTTTCTTTGCCTGAAAAAACTTGATTTGGAGTTAAAGTCTTTACATTTTTCTTTTGGTTTTTGGCAGGCGAGAAGAGATAAGATAAGTGAGAGGATGAAAATCTTGCAAGATCTTGTGCCGGGATGTAACAAGGTTATTGGAAAAGCACTTGTTTTAGATGAGATTATTAACTATATACAATCATTGCACGACAAGTTGAGGTAAAAAACTCTGTTTCTCTCTTCTCTATTGTATGTTTAATTTACGTACATGTGTGTTTCGTAAGACTATACTTGTGATTTTTCAGTTTCTATCGATGAAGCTCGAAGCTGTCAACTCAAGAATGAACCCTGGAATAGAGGTTTTTCCAGCGAAAGAGGTGATCAATCTTCTCCATTTTTTTTACAGAACATTACATGTTCCTGTCTTGTGAAAATACTAGCAAAAAGATGTAAAAAATATTTATTTCCTTAAAACTTAAAAGATACAATGCTGACGCTTACAATATATAGAGAGTCTCGATTTAGAAAAAGACAAATACAGGTAGCCCTATTCTAATCATTAGCACACGATCCAAGCGTCTCGAATCGGTTACGCAGCTGGATTGCCTGAGCTGGAGCCGTACGAAGAGCATCTTTTGACCCTACTTTTGACTGACTGATCTTATCTGCTATGTGACCGTTAGAGGGAGAAGAGTGCGTTTCAGCTTGAGTGGATGTGGGCTGGACACTTCTTTGTATGCCCAGTTTAGCCTTGGTCTTCTGAGACCCATTCGACTCAGGCCCATATTGATGTGAAGTAAAAACTCTGTTTTCACTAAGTGTAGAGTCTATGTTCTCTATACACCCCCGCAAACTTGGTGGAAATTCTACACCAAGTTTGAAAGCAAGATCAGAAAATGGAGTCTGTGGCAACGACTTTGTGAATATGTCCGCAAGTTGCTGAGTTGCTGGAATCTGCTTCACCACCAAAGAACCAAGAGATATTCTTTTCCGAACATAGTGGAAATCTGTATCAAAATGTTTGGTTCTGTTATGCATTCCTGGACTTGCAGTAAGATAAACTGCAGAAAAATTGTCACAATTAATTTCTGGTGTAGAAGGTAGCTGAACCCCCATTTCCTGTAGAAGAGAACTTATCAATTTCAACTCAGTAGCAGCAATAGAAAGAGATCTATATTCAGCCTCGCTTGATGATCTTGAAACTGTAGGATGCCTTTTTGCAGACCAAGAAATTAGATTTGAACCAAGAAAAGTACAGAAACCACCTGTGGATCTCCTTGTCTCCTTGCACCCAGCCCAATAACTGTCGTTGTAGGCTCTTAGAGTGAAATCGGTGTTGGAGCTAATGTTGACACCCATCTGCATTGTGCCTTTTAGATAACGTAGAATTCTTTTAAGATTAGAGAAATCTGCAACTGAAGGCTGATGCATTTTCTGACATACAATGTTCACAGAGAACTGATGATATCTGGCCTTGTTAAGGTAAGGTACTGAAGTTTCCCTGCTAAACTTCGAAAGTGAGTAGAATCAGAAAAGAGTTCGTCCTGTCCTGGAACCTTGTGCAGCAAAAGTGGAAGAGGAGTATGCATTGAAGCAGAGTCTTTCATCCCTGCAGTGATGAGAA